ATTGATTTGTGTGTGTCTGTGTGTGTGTATTTTTGTTATCAACTACAATGAGAAATGTCTTAAAAGTATTTGACTGATTGATTGGAGATTTGCCTTTTTCTCTCTTTAGTTCTGCATGTCTTGCTCCATTTGTGTTTTTTGGATCTCTGTACTCACATGTTGTGATGATTACACACATGTCACCTTGGCTAGGCTGAACCGCATTTCCCAGAATCTCTTTCTCTTATGTTTCCAGTTAGGATGGATTGCAAGGGAGATTCTTGTGAGATATGGAAAGTGAAAAGAAGGCATGAAGACTAGTCACTGCTTCTCTGCTACCTGGGATTGATCTCTGTGATATTAGTAGAAGTAGAACAAGTTTAGTTAGATTGAGTTTTCTTCTGTTTTAAAAGACTTTAAACCTCTCTGTCTCAGAGATCTCTGAGATCCAGTACCATCAAACAACTGGACAATATCTCCAGGACTAGGCACGGAGCATGATGCACAGTAGATGCTCAGTAAACACAAAGACAGTCTGTACGGCATATGGTAAAATGCCAGAACCAGAATCCCTGCATTTCCATCATACCTCCACTGCTACTGAGCTCTTCTGACCCAGTCCATGGCTTAGCCTTAATTTTCTCATCTGGAAAATTGGATCATCGGGGCTGGAGTTGTGGCTCAGTGGCAGAGTGCCTGCCTCACACACGTGAGGCACTGGGTTCGATCCTCACCACCACATAAAAATAAATAAATATAATAAAGATATTTTTAAAAAATTCAAATAATAAAAGAATCAATACAATAAAAAAAGAAAATTGGATCATAATAGCACTCACTCTAAAGGGCTATTGGGTTGATTGAATAAATACAGTAAGTTTCACCAAAGTGAAGCCCAAACAGTTCTGGATCTTTCTAATAACTACGCACCTTTTCTTCTTCCATGCAGGGAAGCAGTTGAGGGTGAGCAGAGAGTGGAGGAAAATAATGACAAAGGTGTCAGAAATCCTCAGTCCTTGCCTAACTGCCTCTCCTGGGTTGGCTGAGCACCTCTGGAGACCCCATGTTTGCTGGAGGAGTTTCCCAGATGTCCTGTTTGGATTCACAACTCTGTCACTTCTTTGGCCGCTTCCTCATTTCCTTAAGGCCCTAAACCACAGGAGCAAGGTCCAAATGCTGGGAAGACAAAAGCTGTGCCTGCCAAGAGCAAACGCTCCCTCTCCACCTCCTCCTCCCTGCTTCAGTGGCACCTGGGAGCATGCCCCAAAGATGCCTTCAGACGGGAACATGCCACGCTCTCTGTTGAAAGCAGTTCCCAGCCCCCGGCTGAGGATGGCTTTGTCTCCTGCTTCCTTGCCTATTAAGCACACCACAGCACATGGACTGATTGCTAGGAAATGAGGCCCCAAAGAATGTATTTCAACAGGACCTGCAAGATGGTTCAAAGAAGGGAGCTGGCCAGGAGTGGGATCCGTGCCCAGGGCTTGGGGTGCAGGACACAGCTACATTGTCCAGGACTCTTCCTGAGGCAGAGGCACCAAGCCCAGCACTGACTTCCAGAGACGCTGAGAAGTCAGAGCCCGGGTCTCAGGGTCACAGAGCCCACTCCCTCCTCTCTGGGCGGAAGGTTCAGGAAGCACACGTCTGTCACTCCAGCTCCTGTTCTGGAGTCCGTCCTTCTCAGAGAGGCTTTGGATTGGAAGGCCACAGTCTTCCCCTCCTGGCCCCTGTTCTAAGGAGGCTGGGTACCAAGTCATCTCTGAATGGAGCTGTGGGAAGGGAGGAGCACAAGCGTCCAGAATCACCTCCTGCTAATGCTCTTCAGAAACCCAACAGTCCCCTGCACCCTGCCCACCACTGGGAGCTTCTTGTTACTATTTACAGGGAAACAAACCCAACCTGAGTGTGCTATGCTTCAAACATCCACTGATGGCTGTTCATCAGCAGGCTGCTGCACCCCACCCCTGTCCTGTGTGGAAGAAAGGGCAGCCGAGCCACCACCCAGCTCTGCACAGTGAGACATAGGACTTGCCCAGACCCAGGAGGCAGAGCGTCGCTGCAAGCTGCCTGGCAACGACTGAGTAGAGACCCCTACTGCTCGACAACAAGAAACCAGAGGCCCTTGCCTGCAAGCACAGTGTAAGAGTCATCCTCGTGCCCCTGCCCCCAGATGATCTTGAGACTGAACCCAGTGGAAGGAGACCTCAGGGGGGAAGGAAGCTGCCCTGCTTTAAAGGACTGTGCACTTCTCTTGCAGCCAGGGTCTAGAATGGCCTAGAACAGCAGAGGAGGGATGTGAAATAATTGTGCAGAAGTATTTCTGATGAGACGGTTGCTAAGGACTCTTCTAGGACTCAGTGTTTTCTGGAACTTGTAGGTCCTTTAAGTCCCCTGCTCAGTCTGCACTAGGTTTACATATGTTCATCAAGGCTGGTTTTTCCTATCAATTCACCCAATTGAGGGAACCTGGCCTGGTATTTTAATTGGTGGCCCTAGGTGACCCTTCCCAAGTGGAAGTCATATTCCTCTGGTGTCGGGTCACCGTGCTGACCAGGCATCCCCCGAGTGACTAGATTAGCAGCCATGTCAACAGATCTTAGCAAATCAGACAGTGGGCCAAGCTCTGGGTCCCAAGCTGGGGACATAAAGTCCTAAAGGAATTATAGAGATCAAAAATAGCCCAGAAGAGTGTGTTCCAAGTGCCAGAGGTGGCCCAGCAATTCAGAGCTGGGGACAGGCCAATCCAGAGAAAAGTGCAGCAGACAGTTAGAGGTGGGGGCAGAAGACAGGAGAAGGCTGGCTGGGGTACAGGTCGTGGTTGGCTGGTTTCTAGCAGGGAGACTTCCGGCTGGCCCAAGGGCAGGTGTTTGGGGCACTTGTCTTTCTTCACAGGAATGTGCCCTGAAATGGGTACCCAGAGCCACAGGCTCATTAGCATTTGTCACAAGTCATGCCCTTTAATTAGAGACAGGATCTTGAGGCGGGGTGGGGGAGATTTTGAGGTTCTCAGAGCTTCTCACAGGCCTAGAATAAGGCCCTGGGCACATCCCCAGGCCCCACACCGATGGTGAGCAGTGCAGTCCACCCACCTGTCCTGAGACGGCACTCAATCCCCTCCTGGGCAAGGACCCTCAGAAGTGAGCTCCAGGCCCAATTCCCTGGCCCACAGGCTCAGGCCTCATGGTCTTATGTAGAGGGCAGCTCTAACAAGCCGAAGCCTGAGCCTCCCTGGAGTAAATGAGGCTGAGCCCTGAGTCCAGAAGTAACTAAGGGGCCCCACCTGCACCCTCTACCTCCATGTGGGGCTGCCAAGGAACCAGCAGAAACAGATGAGTCCAGGAGAAACAAATGAGCGGTTTCCAGAGAGAGAGAGAAAGAATGAGGCCTGGCAGGGTGGTACACGTCTGTCATCCCAGTGGCCTGGGAGGCTGAGGCAGGAGGATTGAGGGTTCAAAGCCAGCCTCAGCAACTTAGCAAGGCCCTAAGCAACTGAGTGAAACTTAGTGAGACCCTGTCTCAAAAATTTTAAAAAATGTATAAAAAGGGTTGGGATGTGGTTCAGTGGTTAAGCACCCCTAGGCTCAATCCCTATTACCAAAGAAAGGGAATGAAGACAGAAGGAGACAGAGGCCGTAGGGCACAGTGGTCAGGAATGAAGTCCCTGGAGCCAAGTGCGGAAGTTTAATTTCTATCTCTTCTATCACTAGCTCGTGACCTTGTAAACAGATAATGAGAGCGGATTTGATTCTTAGGGTCCTCGGCCATCTGTAGAATGGGGGCAAACAATAATACCAGCCTCTCAGAGGCAACTGGAGAAATGAAGGAGCCAATCATACAAAATGCTTGGAACAACACCCAGCAGGCAGTAAGCGCTGGAATGTTTTTAAATGTTGGCTCTTCTTATTAAACACCTTCCTGCAATGGCTACAGGCAGAGCTTACAGCAGCCTCTAATTTGAAAATGCATTTGCATAGCAAGCCAACTTTTGTTTCTTTTCCAATGTTTTCTTCATACCATAAGAGGATCATGAAAATATTTCCTTCATAGGTTTTTATTGGGATTAAATGAAATGATACACTTAATGTACTTAGAACCATGACTGTGGCTTAGTAAGCACTCAATATATGCTAGCTGTTTACTGCCAGTAGCTTAAGAGTGTTAGGGATTATAACGGGCGGTGTAGAGTAGGGGCACCATCATGCCCACCCTGTGGCCAAGAAGCCTCTTGTTTGGAGGCTCTGTTCTGTTCCATGGCTAACAAGTTGACCCTGCTATGGTGGAAGATAGGCATTTAGATCTAAGAAATTCCAGAGCATCATCAGGCATCAGACCTGGGCCAGACGGCTGAGGACACTTCCCACATCTCTCCCCCTGGAGATATTCATCACTCTAAAGAAGGGACACCAGAGCCCAGAGCAATGATGCACGCCTGTAATCCCAGCAGTTCAGGAGGCTGAGATAGGAGGATTGCAAGTTCAAAGCCAGCCTCAGCAAAAACGAGGCACTAAGCAACTCAGTGAGACCCTGTCTCTAAATAAAAATACAAAATAGGGCTAGGGATGTGGCTCAGTGGTTGAAGGCCCCTGAGTTTAATCCCCAGTACCAAAATAAAAAATAAAGAATGGACATCAGGACCTCCAGAAGGCCCTTTCAGCCTCAGGACTCTGGATGCAAGCACTTGAGCTCCTTGTAAGGACCAACACCATCCAGTCCATCCTGGGTGTCCAGGGATCGTGGCTGGGGAGAGACACGGGCACAGAATGTCAATCAAACAAGCCCTGAACGCCCCTCGCACTCTGCCGGGCTGTGGAGCACACACTGGCTCGCACAGCTGGCCCGCTGCCGGCCTGACCCTGACCCCCGAGAAGCGCCCATGGGACCGAGAGGGTCAGGACCTGGAGACACTGTGAGGATTCACTTCGTGTTGGTTCAGAGTCATGCTGCCCCTGAACAATGACAAGAAGGAAGGGCCAAGCGTGTCCCACCTGCCCTCTACCCCACCCCTGGCTTAGGACGTTTACCTCGTGGATCCCAAAGTGGGCGTAGGAGTCAAAATAATAATCTCGCGACGTCATCTCCTCTGGGTTCAGCAGCTTGGACATCTTGCCCCGTCCCGGGCAGCTGGGTTGAGTGGACACATGATGGACACATTGTGCAGGCTTGGGTGGGACGACGGGCTGTGGGGGCTGGGAGGGGGGACTGCTCACCTGAGGAGGAGAGAAGGAGAGCCGGTGTTAGCGGGTCCTGCCCTTGCATCTTTCACTCCTCTTCCTGTCCCCTCCCCGAGCCCTCTCCAGTCCTCCTCGGCAGGCATTCTGAAGGGCTGATGACCTCTTCCAGCTCCCTGGCAGTCAGATTGATGGCTGTGACTCACGGAGAGGTGGCAGGCTACTGATAAGTCAGATGACCTGGACTGAACCCAGGTCCAGCTCTTGCTAGCTAGGTGACCTGAGCTGATCTAGGCCTCAGTTTCCATATCTGTGAAATGGGGAGAACAAAATCTCCTTTAGATGTGAGTAGGAAACTCTCAATAAAGGGAAAGACAGCCACAGAGCACAGAGTGGTGCCTGAGAATGTGGTACCCAAGCCGAGGCTGTCTTGACCCCAGCTCTGTTATTCGCTAGCTGCTCTGGTTTGGGTGTGGTTTGTCCCTTGAGGGTCCCTGTGTCTGGAGGCTTAATCTCCAGTGTGGCAGTGTGAGAGAAAATGGAATCTGAAAGAGGCGGAGCCTCATGAGAGGTGATTGGATCATTGGGAGATGTCCTTGGAGGGAACAGACCTAGCTCTCTAGTGGGACCCTGCTTCATTCTCAAGAGGATCCTTATAAAAGAACAAGAATGGCCCTTCTCTGTTTTTCTGCTTCCTGTCTCATTAGGTGATCTCTCCCTCTTGCTCACACTCCCACCATTGTGATGCCACCCGCCATGAGGCCCCCACTAGAGCCCAGTAGAAGCTAGTGCCGCACTCTTGAGCCTCCAGAATTGTAAACCAAATAAACCTCTTTTCTTTACAAAACACCCAGCCTCAGGTATTTTGTTACAACACTACAAAACTGACTGCTATTTGTTGGCCTGAAAGTCATTTGTTACCATTATGACTCCATTTGTTCCTCAGTAAAATACAAATCATAATAAAGCCTGCCTGTAAGAACTGTCAAGGCCATTTGGATGAGTTTGTAGACATAAAGACTTTGTACACTTCCTGGAATGTAGGGAGTGCTTATTTATTTTGACTATTACTATTATTCTGATCACATAAATCATGTCCCCACTTATGTCTCAGTTTTCTCTTCCATAAACTGGGTCAGCTCAGACTTATTCTTAAGGGAAACAGAGGGATCCTAGAACACAGCAGATTAAAAAAATAAAAAATCCAAGGGATTCCATCCCTTCTCCTTGATGTGGTGCACTTGGCTCCAAGAATGTCCCATGTCCAGGGCTGGAGGAGTGAGCTGGGGTGGGGGGGGCGTGATGGTCCCATTTCCTGGTATATCTAGGCTACCACCTCTGGGAAATAAGCAGGCTTCCCAGTTTAGCAACATTGGATTTCAGGTCGACAAGATCCTGGGCAGGCTGGCCGAGAGGCAAGCGGGGCTGCCTCGTTAGAATGCAGCAGGTGTGCCCACTCTCGGCTTGGGATGCTGGTCACGGTCCCCGGGAGGCTAAAAATAGACTGTGTCAATTGTACACTCCCGTGCAGGCTGCAGAGTCACCTCTAAAGCCGAAGAAGTCTCAATGCATGTAGCTGACCCCAATATTGACTCCATTTAAATATATTAAGGAGAGAAAAACTCCTAACCCGTCCAGGATTGTCCACAGCAATGGTCATAGGGCCCAGCACCCTTAGCTGTCATTCACCTAATTCCTAGCTTCCCTTTTCCATGAGATCCCTGAGTCTCCTTCCCCAACAGCCACCTTATGAAGTATCTACCACACGCCACACATTGCATAATGCAAAGAGACAAACGAATTCGGGGGCCTTCAACTTCAATAGGTCTTGGGGACAAAGAGATGACTATCAGCCAATCACTGGTTCCAAAGGCTGCCATCCCATCTTGGCCTTCTGCAGAGAAAACTTGTCTTCTTCTAACTATGAGCTAATACATGAACTGTCTCCCAGAAGGCTGCGAGTCAGCAGGAAATAGTAATGACTTTCAATCTTAGGGCATTCAGCTATGTGGAGTGTGGCTTTTAATTCCACAAATACCTATTGCACTTCTGCTGTAGCAGGACACTAGGTGGATCCTGTGAAAGAAACAGACATATGGGAGCTGTAACCTCTAAAGACTCTTTTTTTTTTTCTAGACCCTAAAACACGCAACAACTCCATAGAAGCTAGAATAAGGTGTAGCCTGAAAAGGAAGTTCAAGGAAATTGTTCAGAGGGTGCAAAAAGAGAAAGAATTTACTTTAACTCGGAGAGTCAGGAAATCCCGGGACAGCTGGCCACAGGGTAAGCTGGGGACCTTGGGTAGGTGGTGAGGGTGTGGGGGAATTCTGGGAGGAGAGGATGCTCAGGCAAATGGTGAAGGGGTGGGAAGGCAGTGAGCTTGTTGGGAGCAGCTTGGCTGCGATAGTGGGGGATTCATTCAGTTGAAAGAAAAATAAGGCCAGGTTAAGAGGTTGTGATGAAATACAGAAGGCCTCTTCACCCAGGGAGTTCTCTGTTTGAGCCCTACTTCAGGAAGATGGATACCAGAGCAGCATGCAGGAGGAGACAGGAGGAGAAAGGAGGAGAGGGACTCGGGTAAGGGAGACCAGGGATGCATTTAGGAGGCTATTTTCAAAGTCCAGTCAAGACCTAATGAGAATCTGAACTGCTGGGTGGTAGAGGGGCTGCCCGCCAGGGAAGTGCAGAAAGAGAATCTACAGGAGTTGGCAACTGATGGAACGTGGGGGAGAGAGGGGAGCTGGAATCAGAGACGACTTCCACGTTTCAAGCCTGGGTGAGTAGGGAAATGGTGACATTAACAGAATAAGCAGGTCAGAGGGAAGAGCAGGTGGGGGTGGGGGAGACGATGAGTTTCAATTTGGATGTGTGGAGTCTGAAATGTCATCGAGTCCTATAAGACAAGATGTCTAGCAAGCAGATATTAACACAGTGCCAGTCGATAAACACCAGGAACAAAATCGAAAGGCAAATGACAAACTGGGAAGTACACCCTCACGTGTGACAAAGGTTAATACCCTCTATATGGAGAGAGCTCCTAACACCCCCGTAAAGAAGAGAGGAACACTGCCAATTTAATGTGGACAAAGAGTCTTGTGCTGTATTCATGCAAGAATAAATATAAATGGCAAATTAACATGCAGGAAATAAAACACCTCACCAGCAGTCAGGTAAATTCAAAACAACAACAACAACAAAATGCAAGTGGTCCCCATAAAAACTGTGAGATTTGTTTAAAAAAAAAAAGCAGTTGCCCTCATCCACTTCCTGTGGGAATGTAAATAGGTCAAGACTTTTTGGAAGTCACTAAAAATTTTTTTTAAACACAGATCCTTTAACCCATAATTGCATTTTTAAAATTTATCTTAGAGTATTGTAATAATCATATATATGTAGTTACAAAAATTTCATGATGGTGTTGTCCATAATGGCAAAAAGTAGTTAACTTTGATGCTCCACAAAACAAAACTAATTAAATCGACGAGGGTGTTATTCCACAGTAGAATGTTATGCAGCCATTAAAAATGTCATGGGTAGAGTGTCTAATAACACAAAGATAGAGTGCAGTAAATTGTTGGTTGAAGATGACAAGCACAATAAGGAAAGACTGTGTGACTGCGTTTTAGCCACTAAAACCTGTTCCTGCCTGTGTGCGAAGAGGGCAGATTCAGAGAAGGCACCAGAACTGGCAGTGACTATTGCAGAGAGTTGGGCTAAGAACAATTAATTCTTTGTTCTTGTGCTTGCTTAATATTTTCTGAAACAGATGCCATTAATATGGTACCACTCTTTGTAAATAGCAAAGAATAATAATATTGAAAAAGAAAAGGCAAAAGTTATCCTAGATCTTTGGAGAGAAACTGAGGCTGGGACTCTGGTTTGGAAACTATTTCTGGGGATGGGGTCCTGAAAGTGTGCATGTGGGAGAGGCTCCAAGGGGAGGTGGGGAGTGGGAGTGAGGATGGGCCTAGGAGAGAAGCCAGAGTTACTGTCCTATGAGGACCTTGGAGTCACCTGGAGACCCAGGGAGAGAGGCGGGGGGACAGGGAGACAAACAACAAAGTGGGAAGGAGGTGTCCTCATTCCTCCAGCCCCGTGACTGACCCTCCCCTGAGAGCATGCAATCCAAGCCCTGTCCAGGAAAGGGCTCCAGGACCAAGTCGACCTTCATTCAGGACCCTCTGAGCCTCATCTACCCAGGGTGACAGTGAGCTCAGAAGGCAGTGCAGAGCCACCTTGAATGGTGTACATGAAGCTGGCCCCAATACTGACTCCATTTACATACGTTAAAAGAGAAAAACTCCTAGCTAGTCGAAGCATTGTGCGTGGTCAGGGTCACCAGGCCTCCTGCAACCCTTAGGGATCATTCAACTCTGATTCCATGAGCCCCTTTTCCATAGTCTCCTTCCCCAACAGCCAAATTACAAAGTATCTATTATGTGCCACACATTGTATTTTTCAGGCAAAGGGATGAATGGATTGGGGGAGATGGACTTCAATAGCCACAGGCCACAGAGACAAAGAGGTGACTGTCCCAGGCCAGTCTCTGTTCCCAAAGGCTGCCAGCCCAGCTCAGTCTCCTAGAGGAGACCTGTCCCTCTGTGCATGGGCTATTAGGTATGTCCTCTCCCAGAAGTCTTCTCTAGAGTAAGAAGGGGAAGTGGCCCAAGCATTCAGCTACAAATGTCTACTGAACACCTACCACAGAAAGGCAGTGTGCAGTTCCTGTGGAAGAAACAAGAGATGCTCAGGACCCCTATAGGTCACCATATAGACAAATAGGAACCAGTGTAGTAATCCAGACATCTACTATAAAAGATGGTTCCACTGCAGATGAAGGTCCTTGGAGGGGATCTGAAAACTTGGCTTTTGGCTTATCTGTCTGTCTACCCAGGGCCCTGGGAAGACTTGAAGAGCACAGGCAATGGTTTGGGCAATGCCCAAGGTCTCATCTGCGATATCAGAAGGCCCAGTTCCTCCCTGGGCCGCACTGGACAACCAGAGACTCACAGCCAAGGAAGTCTTCAAACTTCAGACTA